TCCTTTTGAGTTTTTCTGCAATGTGTGATTGGCTCTAAGTTTCATGGTGGACTACTAGCTTTTAAATTTCATGTTTGGGAGGAGAAAAAAGCATTAGTTTCTGCTTCTGGTACGGAAAGATTTTGTGTACTGGTACACCTGAAAGTAACTTTTCTCTGATTAAATGTAATTTAGGAACATTAATATTTTCTCTGATATTCAAAAGCAGAAACTAATTTATAAGGATATAATCTGAGAAAGACTACAGAATTTATTTTGAGGCAGCAGCATCTTGAATTTATTTGATACGATTTTGAATATTTTGAATTGGCAGTCCCTCCACCTAATTCAGTGGAGTTTATTTTGCACTGATTAAATACAAAATAACATCAAAATGTCCCTAGAATTATCCAGTATTTGTATCCATATAACTGAACTAGGCATAAGGGAACTATATTTTTGTTAAATCAGTACAAATTTTTTTGATAAAAACAATGGTAGAAGCAGATTCACTGGGATACAGAGAATGAAATTAAGGAGCATAATACAACTACCAATTATGCCCACTGTGGTGTTCTTCCTCGGTACGCAAAGAAGGCATCCACACCCTCTCTTCCTTTCACAGCATCGTTTCAGCTGCACCTAAACTCTCAGTACATAATCCTGAGACAGTCTGCATGCTTCATTCCATGTTGCCTAACATACTTAAATCTCTGAGCACTGTCTACCCAAAGTACTCAACCACACTTGTGAGACATATGAAGTATGTGCAGATTACTTGCCTTATCATATCAGTTGGTCAGAACTAAACATATAAATGTGACAATTTCTAGGTTTCTCAGAATAATTTGAAAACTTACAAGCAACAAAGATGAAATTCCACAGCCCACATAGATTTACATCATGGTGTGAAAGCTCAAGATAACACTCCTCTGATTCTCAACACTACTCTAAGGAGCCCATTAATTCCAAGTACAGGCTAGCTCTCACTTGACAATTGCAGAAACCTAAAAACAAAAGGCAGAGACATCTAAAAAATTATCAAGTTTAATATGCTTTTCAATGCACTTTCATTTTAAATGATGATTGTGAATGAAAGTGTGGCAGACCTGCTACTAACTAAAGCTTAGGTTGTAACTCTGCCTTGTGTAGCTGGATGGAAACAAAAAGGAGAGGATATACTGTTCATCTTTGTGTAATTTCTGTATAAAAGGCAATGGAGAAGCACACATCTTTGTTTGTAATTATGGGAAAGCACAGAGAGTGAAAGAGTTGGAATCTGATTTTCAGTTACAAATTTTGCATATTTGATGTTTTCAAAGATAAGCAAATTCACTATGTGTAAAATAGTTGAGTTGTGAACTAGGCAAACAGCATCCAGCATTGCAAATTCTGTTTCGAAACTACTCCAACCACCATCCCTCCCCAGCTTCGTAAATTTACTACTTTCAGATCAAAATCTTTTCCAACAAGTAGCGATAGAAACAAATTTGGCTCTGGTGGTAGGAGTACAGTACACTTATCCAGGTTTTCAGAAAACACCACTTCCTCCTGAGAATAACAGGGAAACTTCCATGTTGGATTTTTTTTTTTTTTTAACAGACGTTTAATTATTAGGGCTTATGGGTAGATAGCAAGCTTTACTTTAACTTTGGCTGGAAGCCAACTACTTTGCAGTGATGAGGCAAACAAAATCATTAAATGCCGAATATATTCAAAGTACATCCAGTGTCATTCCTTGAATTCTTCTTGAAGGACAAACAACTCCTCTTGAAATTGAAATAACTAACAAGTATAAAACACTTCAACATAAAAGACTGCCACATCACCACTTATCCATGATTCTTAGCAAATTCTGCAGCCATGTAGCTTAGGCAGCTGCAGCAACAACCCAGCTATAACATACAAGAATTTGAGATAACATTTTGAAAAGCAGTAAATATAGATGTTCAATTTGGGACTACAGTGTTTTACATCTAAAGAAAATGTTATACAGATAATAATAAAAGGCATAATTAAATAATGCCATGAAGCTTATACTACTTTTAACCCTGGCCTATAAATATTTACATAGTACAGGTGAATTCACATATATTACTTCCAGATTAAAATAAAAATAACAAAAATTAATAAAAATAAATTATATTAAATCAAGAAGATTTCTTTGTGTAGACAAACCCTAGGAAGCTGCAGTGAACAGAGAATGCTCCTAATGATTTTGTCTTTGTGGAGTAAATCTATCACATAGATTGCACAAACATATTTTTCTAGCTCTTCCTGGGTTCAGGAAGAAATCACCCCACTTCCCAGGTTTTCCATTTGGATAGAAATTACAAGCTAAAATATATAATGAAATATTCAGCTGGCAGAGAAGCCTATTTTTCTTGCTGACTAGTGAAAAGCATACTGTCTCAGAAGTTCATGCCGTATACTGAGGAATGAAATATGCAGGCAAGAAGAAACATTCTTATGTAGTATTAACAAGCATATGTCCAAGTCTGCAAGTATACTCTCTGGGGACCACAAAAGAATCCTCTGAAGCATGAAACCACAGTAAATACTCTGAAATATGGCAAATTTGCAGAACTTAAGATACTTCTGCAAGTCAAAAAATCTTTGGAACCAAGATCACAATTATAATAAAAAGCAAGTCTCAACCCAACTATGGAGAAGCTGTTTCTCTGTAATAAATTGTTCAAAACTTCTTCAACATTTGTATTTTAGAGCTGTAACACTTATTACTGGAGTCATATGCTTACTATGTTCTTTCTTGTCAGGAAGCAGCATTTTCAGTTGTAAGTTATGTTTTGCTCAATGAGTCATAAATTAAAGAACTTTCCAGAGGAACACAAAGAATGATGGTTCAAATTTTATAATGTATCATGCATTAGAATACCAAAAGGCTTCTACTGCATTTTAATGACTCATTTTGCTGCTGAATAGGAAATGCCAGCTGATGTACACTAAAGTTAACAAGGACCTGAAGGAGCTAAAACTGATACTTAGCTTCAAGTATCATTGGTACTCACTGTAAAGAATTGTGCCATTTAGAGCAGTTGTTTTCACTGTCAAGTACAGAGTTGTCAGATTGCTTGTTTCCTGCCCAGATGCAGTCCTGGTGTCAGATACAGATGTCAGAGAAGGTAGTTCCAAATAAGAATTTCCAGTGAAGGATGGAAAAAACAGTGCTGTGTCTGAAATGAATAATGAAAAGCTAATTTTATTAATTTATTACAAAATAAAGTAATAAAATACAATATAATCAGCAAAGCACATTTAAAAATATCCATTCTTCTGAATACCTGTGAATAGTGTAATCAACTATATTATTCGCAGAGCATGCATATAAATTTATTTAATTTCAAACATTCAAGTTAAATATGCAGAAAATGAAAATGTTCTAGCATCTGTATATTAGCAGAAGTGAAAAGACCATTATAGGAGGGACTACTGCTAGAAGATGCAATAAAGTTCAAAAGTTTGTCACAGATTTTCATTTTTACAGGTGTGTCCGTGCAGAACTTTTGTCCTATGACATCCCTGTGACGTACTTTTGGTTTATAGTTGTAGATAAGAAACACAGGTTTTCTTCATTTTGAGGATACTCAAATGTTCTGGTTTTGAAATTATGATGAGGATGCTATTGGGCAGTATATACATTTTTCCACTACACTACTCCTGTCTTGAAAATAAATAATCACAAGATAAAATTTTTAACTATGAAGGCTTAACATTTGCAACATTTATTGCATTAATTACCTTTGTCATTATGTTTTTTGGTTTTTTTTTTCCCCTGTAGCTGTGATAATAATACCACTTAAGCAAGAAAAAAGGCAGAATTTCTTCCTGATACCTTAAGCGTCCTAGTTAAGCAATGCTCCTTGAAGAGTGTCCAAATTCATCACCAAAGATGTGAAAAAGGAATGAGCAACAAGAAAAGGCAACAAGAAAAGCAGTCTGAGTTCAGGTAATATTTTTGTAAAGAATTTTTTGATTTAATGAACTAAAACTATATAATGGATTTGTGACTGATGATTAGACATAGGCATGACAAATATTTACATAGTACAGGTGAATTCACATATATTACTTCCAGATTAAAATAAAAATAACAAAAATTAATAAAAATAAATTATATTAAATCAAGAAGATTTCTTTGTGTAGACAAACCCTAGGAAGCTGCAGTGAACAGAGAATGCTCCTAATGATTTTGTCTTTGTGGAGTAAATCTATCACATAGATTGCACAAACATATTTTTCTAGCTCTTCCTGGGTTCAGGAAGAAATCACCCCACTTCCCAGGTTTTCCATTTGGATAGAAATTACAAGCTAAAATATATAATGAAATATTCAGAGGGCAGAGAAGCCTATTTTTCTTGCTGACTAGTGAAAAGCATACTGTCTCAGAAGTTCATGCCGTATACTGAGGAATGAAATATGCAGGCAAGAAGAAACATTCTTATGTAGTATTAACAAGCATATGTCCAAGTCTGCAAGTATACTCTCTGGGGACCACAAAAGAATCCTCTGAAGCATGAAACCACAGTAAATACTCTGAAATATGGCAAATTTGCAGAACTTAAGATACTTCTGCAAGTCAAAAAATCTTTGGAACCAAGATCACAATTATAATAAAAAGCAAGTCTCAACCCAACTATGGAGAAGCTGTTTCTCTGTAATAAATTGTTCAAAACTTCTTCAACATTTGTATTTTAGAGCTGTAACACTTATTACTGGAGTCATATGCTTACTATGTTCTTTCTTGTCAGGAAGCAGCATTTTCAGTTGTAAGTTATGTTTTGCTCAATGAGTCATAAATTAAAGAACTTTCCAGAGGAACACAAAGAATGATGGTTCAAATTTTATAATGTATCATGCATTAGAATACCAAAAGGCTTCTACTGCATTTTAATGACTCATTTTGCTGCTGAATAGGAAATGCCAGCTGATGTACACTAAAGTTAACAAGGACCTGAAGGAGCTAAAACTGATACTTAGCTTCAAGTATCATTGGTACTCACTGTAAAGAATTGTGCCATTTAGAGCAGTTGTTTTCACTGTCAAGTACAGAGTTGTCAGATTGCTTGTTTCCTGCCCAGATGCAGTCCTGGTGTCAGATACAGATGTCAGAGAAGGTAGTTCCAAATAAGAATTTCCAGTGAAGGATGGAAAAAACAGTGCTGTGTCTGAAATGAATAATGAAAAGCTAATTTTATTAATTTATTACAAAATAAAGTAATAAAATACAATATAATCAGCAAAGCACATTTAAAAATATCCATTCTTCTGAATACCTGTGAATAGTGTAATCAACTATATTATTCGCAGAGCATGCATATAAATTTATTTAATTTCAAACATTCAAGTTAAATATGCAGAAAATGAAAATGTTCTAGCATCTGTATATTAGCAGAAGTGAAAAGACCATTATAGGAGGGACTACTGCTAGAAGATGCAATAAAGTTCAAAAGTTTGTCACAGATTTTCATTTTTACAGGTGTGTCCGTGCAGAACTTTTGTCCTATGACATCCCTGTGACGTACTTTTGGTTTATAGTTGTAGATAAGAAACACAGGTTTTCTTCATTTTGAGGATACTCAAATGTTCTGGTTTTGAAATTATGATGAGGATGCTATTGGGCAGTATATACATTTTTCCACTACACTACTCCTGTCTTGAAAATAAATAATCACAAGATAAAATTTTTAACTATGAAGGCTTAACATTTGCAACATTTATTGCATTAATTACCTTTGTCATTATGTTTTTTGGTTTTTTTTTTCCCCTGTAGCTGTGATAATAATACCACTTAAGCAAGAAAAAAGGCAGAATTTCTTCCTGATACCTTAAGCGTCCTAGTTAAGCAATGCTCCTTGAAGAGTGTCCAAATTCATCACCAAAGATGTGAAAAAGGAATGAGCAACAAGAAAAGGCAACAAGAAAAGCAGTCTGAGTTCAGGTAATATTTTTGTAAAGAATTTTTTGATTTAATGAACTAAAACTATATAATGGATTTGTGACTGATGATTAGACATAGGCATGACTAGTACGTGGATTTTTTTTTCAAAATTTTTATTTGTTTTATTAATTTTTTGTTTGTTTGTTTGTGAAATCTGCCCATGGTTTATTCTCTGCTGTTTTTATTGGACTTAAGAAAGAAAAAAATGAAACCCCTAGTTAAACAAGCATGTGTTGAAGGGCATTCATTAAAAAAAACCACCACAACTTGACAGCAAAAGAAAGGCAGGATGGAAAGCAAGAAGTAGTTATGTTTCTAAACGGTAGGTCTGGAAAAATCAGGATTGTTGGAGAAAGTGAAAAAACTATGGGATGAAAAAATTCCCTTGAAGGGTGAGGTAAAGGTCAAAGGCATTGCAAATCAGAAGCAGACCTACACAATTATAAGAATGCCGTTTGTCTAATTAAATTCATACTTTCAAGGGAAACAGTACAAGCAGATCTAGTCCAGTGCTGGGCCACAAACATGATTAAGAGACTGGGGCCTCTTTCATATAAGGAAAGGCTGAGAAAGCCAGGACTCCTAAGGCTGCAGAAGAGCAGGCTATGGTGGATCTTATCAATGTCTATAAATACCTGATTGAAGGGAATGGAGTAGAGCGATCCAAACTTTTCTCAGCAGTGCCCCCTGACAGGCAATGGGCACAAATCAAAACCCAGGAAATCTCACCTGAACACTTGAAAACACTTTTTCACTGTGAGGGTGGTCAAACATTGGCACAGATTGACCAGAGAGGTTTGTCAAGTCTTGATCCTTGGAGATTTTCAAAACCTGACTGGACGCGTTTGTGAGAAACCTGCTCTAGGTGACCCTGCTCTGTTTGAGCAGGTGGTTGAACTAGATGATCTCAAGAGGTCCCTTCCAACCTCAACAATTTGGTGATTTTTTGATCTTTCACAGAGAGGCTCTGTGCAGACAACATTAATTCTTATTCTTCAAATGTAGGGCCTTCAGAAACCTCAGTGTAGTACAGTACTCACAATATAGTGGTACATCTTGCAGCTAAAGCTGTTAAAATATCTTTTATTAGGCAGTTTGTGAAAAATACTCAACTTCAAGATTAACTGACACAATTTAGTTTCTACATTAAAAATAATATTTTGTGAAGTTTCTTTCAGCTAGCTGAAGGGCAGGGGAGGAGAGAGAGAAGGGGAAGGGAGCATAGGATATCCAGGTAATCTTGAAAGGAAGGACAACCCTATCAGTCCTTTAGCTGGGATAGTTCCCTTCAAAGGAGAGATCTTCCATAAAGACCTGCAACTTCCCAGGGAGTCCAGCACCCTGCGTTCAGAGGTCTCTGCACTAATGGATAGCCAAAACTACTGAGAAAAATGCTATTTCAACTGTGATGACTACACCTGCAGTGCTGCGCCCAAAGCAGCCTAGGCCTCCATCACCAATGCAGTGAAGTCCTCTCAGGAATCAGCAGAAGAGATATAGCAAATACAGAGACTTCACCAGAGACTTAAAGTCATACCTGGCCAACAAAGCCATTCAGAACTGCAAGAACACCCTCTTCCCCATGGTATGCAGGCTATTAGCTTGCTCATCTTCAACAGTCATTCTCTGCCCTAAAGCCGTATGACAGTTGCAATGTGTTGCAACTGTACAACATCAGTAAAGAGGTCACTGAGAGCACAGAGGTTAGTCCTCTCCTTGGATGAAGGGCTTAAGCGGGAGAAAACTAAACAGCGGATATCTCCTTGAGCTTTCATCTTCACACAAACTGAGATTGATTATCTGCAATGTAGGTCAGAAGAAGGAATACAACCTCTACAGGTGGCACAATGAAGCAAAGAAGGCACCAAAAACTTCTTAAGCACAAGACACCAAGAAAAAGCTCCTACCCAGCAAGAGGAATCAACTGTGAAACATTCAAATTCAACAGTTGAGAAGTACTGAAACAGGACATGGTCAGCTGTGCTTTCTATGTCCTGTATTGCAGGGGAGGGAGAGGTTTGAGTAGCCACAGATCCTGCAGGGAAGAACTTCCCATCCTCAAGGAGCGTGCTCTGACAGAACATCCTCTCTACAGGAAAATGTACCCATGAAAACTCTCTAGAGCACTCTTCTTCCTTTGGCTTAAAAGCTAACTTGCAAGCATCAAAAGCTAGCTGATGTGCTTGAACAACAGAAGAAAATCTTTACTGTTAGTCATACTAGTTTGTCATTTTATCTTTTGTAACTTTTTTCTGTAACTACAAAATTGTTTTTAAATACGCATATTCTCTTGTTCCTTAAATCTTTACAAATAATGAAGCTAATTCTGAGGAAATGAATACACAAATGAGAACTCTATTCCAAAAGAAGGTCTGGAGAGGAAACTGCAATTCAGTGGCAAGCATTAGTCAAACAAGTAGCCCAGCATATGGCAAGACAATGAAGAGCATGTAGGAACCCCAGCATCCCAAAGGCACCTGTAGCAATATCCACTAAGTCTAAGTATTCTTGTCTTATCTTGCATATAGTTTGTGTATAAGCTGAAGAGCCTAAAATCTTTAGGTTTGTGATGAAATGCACAGGTAGAATAGTACGGGCAAAGCTGCTTGTCTAGAATCTCTTTTTCCACTTCCCTCCTTCTACTAAGCTCTGAATTAGCAGGAATTAAAGTCCCATGCAGCACTGAGCATGGCTGCACGCTGGTAGGTTCCATGAAACAAAGCCAAAGAGGGCATATGCTGAACTACAATAAGCTAATAACAGAAATACTATCGATACCAGCTACAATGTGCATCTAAGACTCTACCATAGTATGAAAGTATTTCACGCTGTTTTCTAGTAACATTTACAGATCTTCATATTTTAAGATGGTTGCTGGCAATAAGTAATTTTGTACTTCATTTATTTCACAGGGCAGGCTGACAGAAGAAATGGTTATTTTATTCCCTCCTGGGGCTACTAACACTGTCAGCTCTGTCCATGACCCCAGGGGACTGTTCCACTAGGGCAGTGGTCTCCAAAATGGAGTGCATGAACCCCAGGGGGTATGCAAGACAATTCACTGGGGTGCAGGAAGAAAAATATTAGAACTGCAGCAGTACATATATGTAATTTATAAATAAATACATATACATACATTGGTGGGGTGTCCTCAAAAATTTTTTACTGACGGGGTGCTCAATCGAAATAGTTTGGAGACCACTGCACTAGGGAAAAACTGAAGGGCAACAGGGACTTACCAACCATGTCCCCCACAAGGAGATGGAATGTAATGGAGTCACCAGCACAGCAGTTCTGTAGTATGGAGAATTTCTACAAAGGAATTGTGTTATGATTCTTTGACCTACGTTTAAGGTCTTTAAGCAGAATGTAACTTTTTGAGATATTAGCTGTTACTACAACTAAACAGTGACAAATGTGACACTATACCAATAGAGGATAGTGAGAAAACTAATACCGTACAACTTCTCAAAGCCATACAGTTCTTTTAGAGTCAGAGTATGTCCCTGTTTCAATAAGCAAAAATGCTTAATGAGTTTTAGTTCCCAAACTGTATTTTTTAGGATATATAGGTGTCTAAAACCTAAATTGATCCAACTCAGGTCCCTATCTGCATACAAGCTTCATCTTTAGGTACTTAAATAAGTCAATGATTAAGAAGCAACATAATACAATGATAAAAATAATATATAAAAAAGTCTTTGTAAGTACAAGGCACAATCAACTATAGGTAACGTAACAGTTTTACAGGTCTCAATTATACCAGAAGAAATAAAAAAAAAATCTAATAATTTAAGGGTAAAAAAGGAGACTACAAGTAATTCAAGATACAATACCTGCAAAAATTCATAAACAGAGACTACACAGTTGGGTCTTGGATTTCCTGAACAGCACATATAGATTTACATTAGATATAAGGAAGAAAGTTTTAATGATGAAAGTGGTGAAACACTGGAACAGGTTGTCCAGAGAGGTGGTGGATGCCCCATCCGTGGAAACATTCAAGGTCAGATTGGATGGGGCTCTGAGCAACCTGATCTAGTTGAAGATGTCCCTGCCCACGGCAGGGGGGTTGGACTAGATGACCTTTAGAGGTCCCTTCCAACCCAAACTATTCTATGATTCTATGATTCTATATTGCTAAGAATTATACTTTAATAGTTTAACTGAAGTTAATAGTTTAACTGAAGGCTCAAATTTTCTACTGAAATAAATAGGTTACCTGGG